GAGTTTCTATCCATTAGCTTCTACATTGAATTCTTTCACCTTGTTTTCCTTATAAAGACACCAAGTGATGCCCATTAGACAAAAATACAAAAATGTGGTCTGTTTTGCATAACATATTAAGGAAAAATTATTATTTGAACATAATTAGACCCTACAATATAGGAGAAGGTATAAGACATGCTCTTTGATCAAAGTTGGGCTGGGTTTTTTGGTCTTTCATTGTTATTAAAGTTCTTTGTATCCTTGAGGGTTTCTCTGTGGGTGTAACTCTATATCAGGTCCCTATATGAACAAAGCATACTTCCAAAAGTATTGCTAAATTTATTATAAGAAATAGTTTAGTGATTTAGTTTAGTGCAAGGATTTTGTCATCCTACAGAGTCTGGAGGGAAAAAGGGGATTATTTTGATTTCTGTCTTTCAATGCAATTTAATACAGATAGTAAATAACTATAATCCAGATGACCTTTTCTCTTCTCTTACACATAGTCTTAATATTAACGATAAGACATGTTCCAGTGGAATTTTAATGTAAGCATTCCTAAAATAGTGAGGCTGGATACTTTCATTATGATGTTTTACTATGCATTACTATCTATGCCATGACTAAAAAGAAAAGCAAAGTTAGAAAATTACTTTGTATAATGAAGAAATATCATTTATATGTAAGAAACATTTTCAATTCCCCTTCCACCTCTATTTGGTAATGAGTTTCACAGATTCTGTTATACTTTCTAGGCTAATCTTTCAAAGCTGCTTTCTGTCATTTTTTTGATACACAGTGGTATATTGAGTTGGAAAGCAGTTGTCTACAAACGCACTTTTAACTGCATATTATGCCTGCTATATTATATTTTTATAACAGAACCTGTGGCACAAAAGGGAAAAAAAGAGAAACAAAAATGAAAAAAAATGCACACTGCCACCAAATTAGTGTTTTTACTATTTTTTTGTATTTGTTCAGACATTTCATAGTCAAATGATTCCTTTTGGTCAAGTGCCCATATAACTGAGTTTTGAGTTTTTCAGTGCACTGACCTGTAAGGGTTATACAAAAAGAGAGGAGACAGATTTTCTCTCATGAATAGATTGTGTAACAACAGCATGATCAGTCTCTGAAATGTAAATATCTTAATTCTAAGTATTCCTCGTTACAAGTGGCACACCTTTGTAATTTCAGTTTAAAGTTTTTAAAACATCTCTCTTCTGTAATACTATTTCCTCGAAATAAATTATTCCTATCGCATAGGCATTCTGTATCTCAGAATGTGTTTCCCAAGCAGTCATCTCTTCTAAATTTAGAACTAAATTGTAAGAGAGAGCTGTAGCATAGTTTTATTAATGACCTTGGCAGCAGACCGTGTACAACCTTTGTTTATTGCATTCACTTTTGGTTTTTATATTGGCATTCTCTATGATATTGTTGCTCTTTGATCTGTTCACCGATTCTGTTGGGAGCTGGAGATTTTCACCTTAAGATGTTCACTGTAGTGCCTTGCACCACTCAGCTGACTCCAAGCTGTCCTTCACTGTCAAGCTCCCCATCTGTTTCCATCTGTATTTGTTTATGTGTAGCTCAGATTAGGCATTATCACTGTTCTGGCTTCACAGTTCATGGTAATATGAATGTCTTCAATGAAACCAGTGGCTTTATGTGGTACTGCTTTGTTAATGCCCTTTTGTTTGCCTGTACTGCAAATGTCCTGTCTCTGACCATATGACTGTTGGCAATGCTACAGGACAAAAGCTCCTGGTACCAAATGATTTGGAAAGGTACAAAATACTGTGCGTCAAATTGAACCAGAAGTCAGTTCCCACGCTAGGTACTGAGCACTCTGAGTTTAACTGTCCTAATATCAGAAAATATTATTATTAAGAACAATTTCTGTCTACACTATCTGAAGACAATTGAAACTGGTTAAGACCTGCTCATTTCCCATGTTCCTACATGAACAGTTGTCCATGTCCCAACCCCATCATTATTCATGTGCCTGCTCATGGCTAATTTTCTGTGTCAAATTCCCTGGCAGACAACCTTTCCCCTGGGCTTTATTTCTTTTTCTATTCTGTCTGCCCAAGACAAGTCTTTACTAGCTTGCTGGACCATAAAAGGGCAATCATTTTACCTCTGACTATAGAAGGGAATGACTGCCATCCTGTCAGCTTCAGTCCCTTTGAAGTTTTTTGGAGACAGCAAGCATTTGGAAAAAATGAAAATGAAGTGGCAACTAGCTATCGTGACTTTTATCAAATCCCTCAGAAATGTTTCAGTATTGCTGACTTTTAAATTTAAAATGCCAGGGTATGTAAAAAACTGCTAATATTCTAACCTTAATTTGTTCCTCTGTTTGCTACCTATATAGCTGTAGGATTTCTGTCTTCACCAGCTGTTGTGGTGTCATATCTGCTGTAAGATTTTGAAGAGCATAATTGTACATTATACACAATTTTCTCATATGCTTACTTGCATACTTCATAGTGATTCTTTTGCTCGTCTCACTATCTTAGATTCTTTAAACTGTTTTAAGACAGATTTATATTAATGATTCTCTTATACAGCAGAAGCATTTGAAACCTTCTATATAAGGATTTAGGTACAAAGATATGTGCAACTCTCAAAGAAATCTTTCCCTTTCAATAGTGTAGTATTAAATGAACATTGCCTCTCATAACAAGCTTTAATCAGGAGCTGAATCCCCAATGGCAATGATGCAAAACTTCCAGTAAGAATTATAAAGACTTTTTTTCATGGTTGTCACATGCCAACGGTTTGGATCCCAGTAGAATATTCTGAGCATAAAGATTTATGGTGTTTCTCTACAAGAATGGAGATACTGATTTTGCAGCCGTATGTTGAATAGTGATCTGAAAGAACAAGTTCCTTGAATAGTACCTTGGTAAGGTAGGCTGTCAGTGTAATCATTTCCATTTGATATAATTGCTAAAAAGTGATCTGTACAGAAATGGAACAGATGCATCTTTTTAAAGATTAAAATCACGTGTTCCATGTGACTTAGAATGTGCTAAAGTGGTGGTAAGTAGGAGTAGAAATGTCAGTTGGGTTCAGTTTTAAAATATATTGTTGTGAACCATAATGTGTGTAATTAATTAGTAATTAGGAGGTTCTTTTGCAATGGGGAAATTTAAGTGTGTATTTACCACATTTATTTAAGTAAACAAACTTATTTCAATAGACGGGAAGAACTTCTAAATTATAATGCAATTTAACTATTGTGTGAAAATTTTTGAATCAATTATCAGTTAATAAATATTTCTAAAGACCATCTGTGCCTTACCTCTGTAGTCTTTGAGTTAAGCACCTTCATAACATATCCTACCAAAAATGAAATTAGTTCCACCAAAAAGTTCAGACTTAGTATGAAACCCAGTAAAGGGATTTATCTGAATGTTGGATCATGCTGGAATAGGCCTAGGAGCAAAGAGAGAAACTAGCCATTCTTCTGCAGTGATCTGCAAAGACAATCAAAAGCATCACCAGAAAAGCTGGCTAGGGTTGTCCTGTAAGAATTCCACAATTTTTGTCTGGAATATTTTGTACCTTTCCAAGTCTTTTTGTATTACAGAACAATGTCAGTCGTTAGGCATGTCCACCTCTAAACCCTGCAATTTGTTAAATCCTTAGAAAAGCATCAGATAACAGTAGTTTTAGAACTGTGTGCAAGGTAATGCTCTATTGCATTTTTCTAAAGATAACCCACATTGAAATTCATAAATAATTCACAAATACTTCGAAAAAATATGATTCATTGCACAATACGCAACAGAGGCAGATGAAAAGTGACTACTTCCTGCCATTTCCACAAGGAGAGTTCAAGGTTCTGTAGTAAACTTAATCATATTTACAGCAGGATGAATAAGCAATTTAATTTCATTCAGGTATTTGTTTCCATTTTTGGTGGATTTGCTGAGTCTGCACACATGGACTCCTTGTGTTTGCCTGTATGCATGGAGAGCATTCTGAATCACAATTGAAGAAATATTTGCATATTGATATTCACACAAGGAAATTATAGCAAAATAACTGTGTACTCATCCAGGCACCTGGCTCATGAAGCATATATTCTGAACATAAACAGTGTGCAGGGCCCTCTGGAGCCAGTAGATACTCCTGTCCCTTCAGGACAGCTCTTTATGCTTTAACTCTCACACCTGCTCACACACCCACACGTATATATTTCTGCAAATACATATCTAGTTATATAGTTCAAAATTTAAAAAGCTAAAGCCATTAAACTGTAGAATTTTCAGGAAAATGTTTCAATCTGAAAGCAAAGAAGAGGGGAACTTCAGTTCCTTTGTGAGTATTAGTCAAAGATAGGTCTTAATTGTTCAAGTAAATTATTACAACCAGGTCAGTAAGAACGGTTCTACAGTAAACTTTGTATTCTCCAGAGCAATGGGGGACAGCAGAACTGTGGAAGGAACCAATTGGTATGGATACTGCGGGTTACTGGATGCATGTGGTAGTTTATGTCCAGTCAGATATGCTTTGTGCAATACGGACATGGCTGTTAGACCTTCTAGATAAAAGCTGACTCTAAAACAATATGGTGCAAATAAAGTGCCTTAGCAAATAAGCCTTGCTGGACTAAGTTGGCTATGCGTGGATCCAGCTCAAGTGTTCCTTCATTATTGCATTGTAGGTGGTAGCTGGTTTAATAGGACATTGATATACCATTGATTATGCCTGTTGTTTTATTATTCAAGAATTTTAGAAAAGGACTCTGGAATGAAGATTGCAGTGATAATAACAGGACTTGAACATACAAAGCTGTAGTTCTAAACTAAAAATGTACTCAGAATGTTGTAAGTGCCATGGCAGCATACTGCTGACTCCTTCCATGAAGCTTATTGTTTATTTTGTAGAATCACTGTCGTCATTTGTGTAGCTCTTGAGAAGATGCTGGTGGTCTCTTTAATAGGTTAGTGTGTTAATGGCTGACATCTATTAACTTTACCATCTTAATTGGATCCTTTTAGATGTCCAGCCAACTGGTCAGGCACACAGTGTGAGAGGCCAGCTCCCAAAAGCAGCAAGTCTGACAATATCAGTACAAGTAAGTACTTCAAATAACTGCTATCACTTGTCAAATTTGGCTCAGTTTAGACATTTTAACCTGGTGATATTTTAGAATGTGAGTTTGTGTCATGAAATGTGCTGGTTATCTGTATTTTTCTTTAAAAAACCCAAACAAATGTAGATCTCTCTCAACTTTTTGATTGACATTCAGTGTTTCATGAGGTGGTTTGGATGCAAGCCATATGCTATACACTCACTGCTTCAAGGGCTACCCTGCACTTTTCTTAAAGAAAGTGTATCAAGTGGCAAGTGCTTGGTGATATCACTGCTGTGCAGAGAACCAGTATGAGACCCCTGACCATTTAAGTCCTACTGAAAGCATCAAAAATAGAGTTGTAAGTAGTTCATAACTTTTGCATTGGCTATCTGCAGAGGTTTGAATTTTACCTACTGTGAAAATCATCCTGAAAGTAAGAATAGCTCTTCTCGTATTTTTTTAAACATGTCTGTAAGCATAAAAGGATGGTATTGCTGCACTATTGGCAGTTTAAACTGGACAAGGTTCCCTGCAGTGCATTGAGTATGCTGATGGTACCCTGCTGTACGTCTCTCGATCGCATTTAACCCAACTGGAGCAGTAAAATGAATTGCCCACTGTTCAGGTCAGCTTGATGCTTAGATGAAATCTTCCTAGTGATCCAGACAGGTGAAATAACACTTACAAGCTGGAAATGGGCAAAAAAGCAGCCAGAACCTAGATCAGTATTTCATGTTGAGGGAACACCTGCTACAATTTGGGAAGTGGGTATTCGTCTTGGGCCTGCTCCTAGACCCCAGGCTACACCATGGTCACCAGATGGAAATTCATGCCTGGTGGGCTGTTTTCCAGGTAGTTTTCCTTGAATGTTTACCTGCCAAGACAAAATGAACCTTTTTTTTTTTTTTTTTTCCCTCCTAAGTAGAACTTCATCCAGTTATTTATCGAATGGTATCTTAAAATAGCAGTGTTGTAATGTCCTTCATATGCTGAATCTTCATAAGCTGAAGTGAACTCAGGATGCTTCAAGTTTTTATTCAGCGGTACGTCATTTCAGGCCTCTGATAAACTGACTTGGCTTTCAGTAAGCCATCAGGCAGAATCCAAGGCATCTTTTTCAATTCTTTATTTAACTGTGTTTAGTGTAGAGCAGAGACTGCCAACAGCTTATTTTTTTAATAAATCAATAAATGTAACCAGTGAAACAACCAGCAATATTTTTGTTTTCCACCAGTTAAGTATTGTGATATTAAAGCAAATGTATGTCATCCCACACTGGATTTATACTGGAGTCCTGTATTTTATAAGGGCTGGTTTTTTATAACATAAAATTATTTGTTACATGTATTTCTTTATTGCCAGATACTTACATTAAAGCTGAGAAATTCTTAGAAGGGTACAATTGCTGACCTTATTTTTGCAGGTAATCTCATTTCAGTGAAGTTATCTGCCAAAATAATGTTAAGGCCATTTTCTTCTTCCCTGTTCCCTCCTCTCCTTTAACATCACTGTCTGATCTGTGCACTGTTTTTCTGCTACATTAAGCATTATTGTAGTTTCCTTGATTGCCTATATCAACATAACAAAATTATTGGCTCTCGAGTACAATGCAGTAAAATGCAGGAAAAGAAATGAATATTGCTTACTACTTTTCATTTTCCCACAAATAAAAGTAATAAATACATATAAATGCTAATAATGGAAATCTTCAATCAGAGCCATGCCTACTGAATATTTTAAATTAATATTCGCGTGACTTGAATAAACTACTGAAGATGATGGTGGCAGTTAAAGTCAGTGACCATGCCACTCCAATCCAAATTGTTCAGCAATTTCACACACCTTCATACGTTATTGCTGCAAATGAGGGCAGGGAATTAATCCAATCTATATTGGTATCCAGAAAGAGGAAGCTCCTGATTTGTTAATAAAAGTACTTGTGTGTACACCATTATCTGTAATGGCATTTTTTTTGTATTGATCAACATTAAAATCTTAAATCAGTGAAGCTCATCACATGACATTGCAGTTGTTGGTGAGGGAAATTATTCTTTTCAAATTAATTTAACTGGTTTACAGCTGTAAATAAATTATTAGATGTAGCTGTGAGTATTTAATGCTATTTCCTTTTCCTGTTTTAGGAAGCATTGCAATCATTGTTCCTCTTGTTTTACTGGTGACTTTGATCACTACTCTGGTAATTGGACTATTTCTTTGCAAAAGGAAACGAAGGTAAGTAATTTTATATTGATGTATGAAGTAAAAGACTAAATCTTTAAAGTAAGTGCATATTTTTGTTATAAAAAATTCACTTTATACATGTCGAGCAGGTATTAAAAAAAAAAAAAAATCACACAAACAACCCAAAACTTGTTTCTGGACGCAGTGAGTTAGTTATGTTTTCGTTCTGGCTAGAACAATCATGTCTATTATTTATACTTATATTCCACATACACTAGATAAGAAAATGTAGTTCTTTTCTTATCCAGTTTGCTTAATCCTGCCAAGGGTGTAAAAGTGTTAATAATTTTATCCAGACACTTCGTGAACTTAGTAAACAGAATTAACGTATTTCATTGGAACCACGTAATTAATATTGTTCATGTCTACAAATACTTTCAGATAAAGCCTGTGTAGAATTTCCAGTTTATAGTTACAGTTAACTTCAATTTATTTACTTTGATTAGGTCTTTTCAATTTTATATAGTGAAGATGTCAACAATGCTCAAAGTATCTACTGTAGAGTCCAAAGCCTTGACACCATTACTGTGTTTCTTTAGTATCTTGCATAAGAAGCCGAATTCCAGCACTGAACAGTGAATCTTTTGTTCTCTTGAATGTAGCTGCCTTAAAGCTGATAATGAACTTAGGGAACGTAGTAGACTTTCTGACTTTGGCCATTTCTTCAAAGGCCATGTTGGGTGGCAGAGGAAGCAAGAGTGTTTCTACTGTATGCAGACACCTGAGAGAGACGCTAACTTTCTCGTGCTGAGAAATGAGAAAGTTATGTTAGTGGCAATGCAGACCTAACAAGGAAAGATTCCTAGTAACAGGGACATGGCCAACTATGGAAGACCTGGAGTGGGAATCAGACAGCTAACCATTTACGTCAGGCCTGTAGCTGGCCTGCTGGTTGGTCTTGGGTAGCTGTCTTCCTTTCTCCTGGGGCTTGTTACCCCACCTCTGAAACCATGATAATGTCTTCTTTTGCGAAGTCCTTTAGAAACATGTGATGCATCCACTGCTTCTGCAAATGTGATCATTTATGAGACTATTTCAGTCCTCCAGACTAAAAGATTAAGTTACTATCATCTAGCATCATACATACATCTCCCCTGCAAACTCTGGTGCTAACTAGTAAGCATTAATTTTTAAATCCTTTTTGAAAAGCCAACAAGATAAATACATTCCCTAACCATACTCCTAGTAATGCTGACCTTGCCAGGTTCTGTGGATGTCATTATGTGCTGCTGTACCTAAAAACCAAGTTTAGTGACAGCCAAATCCTGAAAAACAGTTGCTGGTCTGTAAATTGTTATTGAGAATAACTTGTTAAATAATAGATCTGTAGTAGAGAAATAGAACTAACCTCAATAAAGAACTTTTTTTTTGTTTCCTTAAAATTACATTTGAAAGTGTATTTCAGGGTATTTTTATCTCTTCAAAGACAACTGTCAAGTATTAAACTAGGTATAGACGTTCAACACTTGTACGCTACAGATAAGTGCTTATTTTAGGAAATACTTTTTCTATGCCGTTTCTCAATAATACAGATCCTTTAGTGTACTGGATTTCAGACACTGACTGCATCTTTCTCAACCAAACAAGAGGACTCGACTATTATCATCCTGACTGTGACCTCCCTGTTATTCCCTTGTAATTCTAGAGAACATACTGCACTGGGAAAAATTACCCTCTTGAGGTTATTTCAATTGCTTAGGCTAAAATCACCTCCTTAGCTGAAATAAATTAGTTCATCAACTAAAACAATTCAACTCAATCACTTATCTTTACTGATACCTAATTTAAGGTTAAAAATAAGACTCTGTCTTTTATTAAAGTTTGAAAAAATTCAAGTTGAACTTCAGCTTTCTGATAACCACTGGCAGGGAATACAAACTGGAACTATGAGAAGTTCATACATTTTTAATGCATCGTAATGAAACCATTTGCTTGTCCTCAGATTACAGCTGACTTTGGGCAACTGATTTCACATGGAAGTGAAATGAATGAGCAAGGGAACATGACTCATGTTCGCTCCATCTTCATTACTGCAGGGAATCTGCCTTGAATTTGCAAGGCTTTCCTTGGGAAGTGAGGGAAATCTGGAAATAATAGGAGGAAGACAGGGTTATAGGCAACAAGTGAGCACTTTGTATGAATTCATACCACTACAGCCAAACTGAGAAAAACAATAAAAAGCTGCTTCCAGCTTATGTGTGATCTACACATAGACTCAGATTGCTACTGTGTTTGAAAAATGGAAGGATTTTCTGATTGTCTCTGCAGGAAGCACTTTTTCATCCTGTTGGTCTTAATGATTAAAGAGAAATAAAATAAAATTTGTACTATTTTAACATCCAAGAAATTACTTGAAAAATCACCAGCTTCTTTTTTTTTGTGTTTACACATTATAGGACAAAAACTATCAGAAGACAACCCATTATAAATGGAGGAATCAATGTAGAAATTGGCAATCCATCATATAATATGTATGAGGTGGGCCATGAGCACAGTGAAGGTGGTCTTTTAGCCTCAGATTTTACTGTAAATGCAGAAAAGGTAATTTTTTCTTTTTCTATTGGCAAAACTACTGCTTATTTTATGTCTTACAAAGGTTTTGGCTTTAAATGTAATTAATAGAAACATAAATCAATGGCATTTAGATTTAGTTAATGAACATAAAGGCAAGTTAGATTTCATTAGAATAAATGTCATGTATATATTAACAGCTGTTTTGCAATCTGATGCTTGCTGATGGACATTTTTCCTAGTGCCTGCATTTTACCAAAAGAAAGTTAGAGCTAAACTACGAAATAATTTTTTTGTCATAGACACATCTGCCTCAAGTTGCCAAACCACAGCCTATCTTTTTAGTTTGGTCGCAAATACCGAATGGAAATATATTATTGTACAGTCTACTGTTTAAAGTGTGAAAAAGTGTATGCATACATATGAGACTAACTTATTTCATATATGAAAACTTCCAAAGGCATAAAGACCTCAGAGTCCTGGCTGGATAGGTAGATTAAATGTTTACACAAAGCTAGTAAGTATTATCATTTTCTTGTAAAAGATGCTGTCACTTCTGCAGCAACACTCTTCAGTGATTGAACTCCCTGAGTGATGTGACATGGGATGAATGGGGTAATGCTGTGATATCTTTCCTAGAGCTCCGTAATCAGACATACACGAAAGGGCAGCCATCATTCTGTGGCATTTCTGACAAAGCAATAACCAGATTACTGTTAGCTCTAGGAATGTCATCGCTGAATCACATAGTCAGTGTGCTGAATACAAGAGGTAAGCTGAAAAGGGAGTTACTCACTGGGGGAAGAGTAACTGGGCCAATGCTTATTGTGAAGTCTGGCTCTAATCCTTAATAGAAAATGATTTTAAACTGCTGAATTTTAGTCTTTTATTGAATGCAAGAGTTATTCATGCTGAAGAATACCTGTAAGTAGATTTTTATTAAATTGTAGATCGCTCTAAAATAATGGTTTTAATCGGTGCACTGTTTATTTAACAGTGTTGATAAGTACACATGGAAAATGCTCTATTAGCACAGAAACTAAAATTTTCTGTTTATACAGGCCAGATACATAGGGGAAGGGCCCACTGCATTCAAGCTTCCCCACACAGCTCCATCAATCTACCTAAACTCTGACTTGAAAGGACCACTATCAACAGGGGTGAGAAATGATGATTCAAATCCATTTCATTCCACCACAGCCCCTTTCTAAAGAAAGTTTCTCTGTCATTTTTGAAGAGAGGCATTTTCTGTTTGTTTTTAATTTTGTTGTTCTTCTTTTAATGGCAAGAAGAATGACAGTAAATAATACAATTTCTATTTGAAATAAAGGGTTCCTCTCGGCATACAAAATTTCATCTGTACCCATCATTGTAACATGATCTAAAACCGCAAATGTGTCTTTTGTAAAGGAATGCAAAACCAGTAAGCAATGTGATGCTTTTCCATAGTATTATATGTTTAGCATAGCATTCACAGCCATGTATCTTGATATATTTGCAATTTATATGTAATTACAGGCATTTAGTGGAGTTTAACAAACTGAAAGAAGCTCCCAAATAAGTGAAAACAAGTCCTTTTGTTATAGAGGAATTTGATACACACTAAAATGAACAATTTCCTTTAATATTTGCAATGTCTTTCTTGATTGTTCAGCTTTCAATCAATTTTTATCATAAAATAGTTACTTTTAAAACATCAGATTTTGACTACAATTTAGCATGATGTTTGCAAACATGGAAATTTAAAATATTAAAAAGGAACACCAATATGACATTCATTTTCATGTGCCTCAGTATATCTGTTCATCTTTTGTGCCGTTTGCATTCTTGCATGGTTGTAATATGTTGTATTTGGAAGTTTAACAATTTGTATAGGGTATGATATTTCTGATGGAGCACAAACCCATGGATGATGAAAGCTAGAATATATGCCCATCTCTAACATTAACTCTTGCTATTATTCGTCAATCCAGTTACTTTCTGTACCTCACTGTACTGCATTATGCTATCAGTACCCACTTAAAGAGGTATCATGAGACAGACACTACTATTATATATAATTCTAATAACTCCATAAGGCACTATATGGATGCCAAGTGTTTCTGTTCTGTTGTGGTTATCATCCGTAATAATGATTGTCAATGAAATAAAAAGTCCTGTCAATTGAAATAAAACTAAATTTCTGTTTTCCTAAATTTCTGACTATAATCATTACAACAAATGTAAAGACAGGTATAACTGAGAGTCTGCTCTCATAAATTACTACAGCAGTTGATTGCATATTTATGTTCCATTAATATAGAAGAGTAGCTTCTTCTTTATCTTTTCTTTTTTTAAATAAATGTGACTCACCTTTTTCTGCCTTCATGCCAGGAAAGTGTGAAACACCAGACAATCACTTTGTCATGGGTAATAAATGGAATAGGGTGTTTTTAACTAACTAAATGAGTAGCTGCCGTAGCTAGCCAGCCTAAGGAATATCTGAATCTTGGGCTCAGAAATGGTATTGATCAACAGGGAAAGGAAGAACTAAGATTCTAGACATCTTTCATTCCTTGTTACCCAGGCTGTACTCAGAACATTTGCAAGTCAAGAAAACCTACCTGCTTCTGTTTTGGGTAATTTAAAGTTTAGCCACTTCTTACGTACACCAAACAAATTAATTTACCTATTTTATTGCTTAATGGTGTTCCACTCAGTATTTGTGTAAGTAAAGCTGTGCTGTTTCAGTAGTTATAAGAAAGAGGAAGATTTTGACCACAAGATACCGTTTTCAGTTATTATAGGTAAAAAGCTGAATATCTAGTTGGATAGCAAAGGTCTTCTATGAGACAATAAAGGCACAAAGTATGAAGGAATTACTGGAGATGTTTACATGATAAGCTTTGGACAGTGCTTTCTCTGTAGCATGAGTGATAGGAGATTCAGTTTTCATCCATGTTATACATCCTTCTGTGCTGTCAGACTCAGGAGATTTCTCATAGACTGAAGTGCATTGCAGAATTAAAAATGGACTTGTCCTATACTGAAGTACCACTCATTTCAGTAGATTTTTTCATTACAGTCCAAACTACCAAAACTGTTGAGAAAAATACTTCTCAATCTGTAACTACTATGATATAGTAACAGTAATGCTGGTTTATTATTAAAGTTTAATTTACATTACGAAAGTATTGAATTTTTGGTCAAATCATGTTGTATATTTGGGCCACAGAATTCGAAAACATGGTCAGCTATTGATGGGATGCTGATGTCTTAGAACAGGTAATATATGGAAACTGTTGGTTGCAGTTTTCTACTGTTAAACTTGTCACATGGTCTCACAGTGCACCTTCTCTATAAACTTCTTCATATCTATTCTGAAATCTTCCAGTGTAATAAGGTGGACAAGTCAACTTCAGAGACATTTTTCAAGGTGTTTGTTTTAATTTTTGTCATTGTTTTTATGGTTTTAATATCATAATATGCTGCATGTCATGTCATTGATTATTTTAATAGCATGTCTCATCATGAATTTAATTTTTAACTAAATAATTAACTCATCATCAGGTTTGCAGAAGTCCAGGTATCTATTGAATATGTCCAATTATATTTTATGTGTACTTGTTCTTGCTTTAATAAAACCATTTCCATTTCCATAAACGTTTATTTTGGTTTAATCCCACTGATCTAATGTATGCTTAATTTCTCTGCAGCCAACAAATTATGCCAATCCAGTATATGCAAAGTTATACATGGATGGACAAAACTGTCGAAACTCCTTAGCAAGTGTTGATGAAAGAAGAGAACTCCTTCCAAAGAAAATAGATATTGGGATAAGGGAGACTGTGGCATAATCTGCTGTTACCTTTTATACTCTGTATAAATGTATAAAATATAAGGATTACTTTTCTATGTACCAACAGTATTATAATTGTTTTGGCATCAGCATTACCTCTGTTTTTTGTTTGGTTGATTGTTTTCTGGGTTTTTCTTTTGCTGATGACTTTTGACTGACCATTTGTAAGGTATTTTTATGAAAAAGAAACTGCACTACGGTACAATTTACAACAATGCTGCTGAAATAACACACCTTTAAATTTGTTAAAATTGCAAACAACATATTCGTTTGTAGCGTGAAAATGAGCAATCTATTTTCTATGAACTTTTTTGGTTCTACTTAATCGATGAAGATGGTATCTGCACTTTTTCATTATGTAGTCTGGAAGCTGTAGTACAGTGTGTAATTTTGTTTATTTTAAATGGTGAAAGAATGATTGAATGGTCTACTCTCTTCTTTGTGCCCATTAGAATTTCTCTTCAGATCCTGATAAAGCTAGATAACTTTTCACAAACAAACATAACTTGCTTTTAAATTAGCTTTAGGTTGCCAAGAAGTAAACAAGACTATAGAAATGAAACATCTAATGATCTGCATGAACACAATGATTATGTTTCAGAAATTCAGTGACTGTACATGATATACTAAACATATATACCATGTAAACAAGCTTTGTATTTATTAAAACCTTATAGAACATAGTAACGATATATCTTGGAAGCTGAAACCTTACTTGCTGTGGGACAAAGCATATGAACTCCAACAGTCCTGTAGGACAGTAGCCACCCTAGAGCACAAGAGGGCATTGCCTACACATGCATTATATATTTATTCACTTAATCACATTCATTACTTACGGATTAATAATTCCCCAACACATACCAAGCAGTAGGGAAAAACCCAAATCCCCAACCTTAAGCACACACAGATGATCACAGCATTCAATTTTGTGATTGACAATCACAAAAAAGTCATATGTGTTTAGAGATATTAAAGAATACAAAACACAGCAGTTTCTTTAGATTAAGATAAACTGTGATACTGTGGAGGTAAAACATAACCAAATTGCATATTAGTGAAACCTTACCTAAGCCCGAGTTTCAATAGTCTGGGTTAAATATCAAAATCCAATTATCGAAAGTGAAAAGCATCGGTATCAGTTTCCAGCACTTGCTCTGACCTGGTCTGCTTTCTGTTGTTACTAAGAGGAAAAATCTGACTCACCTTTTTTAATTTTGATGGAAATAAAGAATACAATTTCTTTCAGGTTTGAACTGAATCGAAATATTTTATACATAACTTTAAAGGCACAAAAGACTTATTCACACATATACTGTGGAGGACTCTTCCTTCCTCTGCTAGACATGACTGACTTTTAGCTATCATCATATATTAACCTAACAGATTAAATATGTTTGTGGTTGCTCTTTATTCCCTTTGTACAAGCATTACAAAAATAACTGCTGTTTTATAAAAGATTTTTGTTGTACTATTGTGCATGCATACTACCTATTTCTAAACTTTGCCATATTGGGGCCTTTATAAAACTCTTGATTTATGTAATACTAGTGCAATTTTGCTTGAACAATGTTATGCATATCATAAACTTTTTCAGGTTCTTGTTTAAGTACATTTTTTTAAATTGAACAGTATTTTTCATTTTGGTTATAATAGTCATTTTGCCTATGTTTCTACAATGAAGTGTTAAATACTTTATAAAAAAATTGTTGACTGATTTATTTAAATGAAAATCTACATACTTAATTCAGTGTGTTGACTAATTTTTAAATTTGACTTATAAAATGAAAACTAAAGAATAGCAAATTGAAGGGCAAGAACACTACTTTGTACATATGGCTAAATTCCTTTTCTTAACGACAATTTTTGCTTTTTATACAACTTCTATTTGAATGTTTTTGCAGCTCTGCACATGTTTGGATAACTTAGGTGTATAGCTGTATATTATGTCAATAGAATTTTAAAACTATTTTATTTTCTATAAAAATACTGTATTAAATAGTTTCATACCATACAGCTATGATTCCACAGGTTCTGACTTTATTCTGCTGACATCATCAGAGATGGATTTGGCCCTCAATTTTTGCATAATTACAGTTGTCATGAGGCATAAGTAGTTGGTCTTACTGCTTTAACATTATTGTTTATTTTCTGACAGAGAATCTAGTATCTTTAATACTCAGGTAGAACTAAATTTTAACTAGTGGGTATACAAGTAACATGAGTTTGAAATCATGAACTCTTATATGGACCTGATGAAATTTATTTATTGTGATGTCTCATGTTCCCTTTCAGTGAGACATTTTTATTTACTTTACACTTGCTTAAGTGTAAATTACTTTTAAAAAAATTAAATTTATTTATTTTCTTAGAAATACACAGTAGTTGATTTCAGTGGATCTATTAGATATTGCATATTAGATCAAGATCTGGTCTTAAGTTTATAGGCAGAATTTTGATAGAGGTAATGAGCTCTACCACTGCCATGACTTAAAGATCTTTAAACTACACATCGGTGTAATATTCCCCAATGGAGTTTTTTGTTTGTTTTTACTTTACCAAGGTTCTTCATAGGAACCGTTTCTTACAGTCCTTTAACAGCCCCAGAATCCCCAGGCTCTGTAGCTGTGCAAAACACACAGGGAGCTGGAGGGTGAAAGATTGAGAACCTGATCAATAACCTATATGTGCATCCTCATAAGTCCAGTAAAATAATTTTGGGCAGGAAATTCTATAAACTTTTACAAGGAACAACAAAAATTTTTAACTTTCTATGTTTCCACAGCCTTGTTGCTGTTATTAATGCCACAGATTCATGTGTGTTTTAAGTTGACATAAGCTTAGAAGAAAAAAATTTGGATAAATGTGCCTGTATCACTGATTAAAACATCTGTCTCTTCAGGGTATAGTTGCAAGCCTCTTTGTGGTTGCTTTCCTGAAGATACTAATGACATTTCATGTTAAATGCTAGTACTGTACTATTTCACTGAATTCACCAGGGTAAAATTTTTCTTCCACAGTACTAATAATTTTTCTTAGCAATCTGAAGCAGTTTGTGGGTTCCATAAATATCAGGTATTAAAATTATTCAGGGAAATGGAACTTCTGATAAATCTAACCCTGAAATACACTGGTCATTTACTTTTTACTCTTAGGCTAAGGAATGGTTCCAGGTTCCTGGGTAACCATGATACAGCTCTAGGTCTCTTTTTACTTTCATTATCCACATTTTCATTCAACAGAAAAAAAAAAAAAAACAAACATGTAAGCTTGAAGGGTGACATGATGTGCTCCATCACAAACTAGGTTCTTAAATGCCTTGCAGAACAGAGAAGCTCTACGCAAAACATATTAAAAAAAAAAGCATTTGTGCCAAACTTTATGTAATTGTGTCTAATGGATCTTTTTTTTTCACAGAGGTTATACGAGTACATTTACACATAACAACAGTGCAGTGGAGTCTCTGCCTTTTGATAGGCCTCTTGTTCTATGCAAGAATTTGCATAAACGCTAAATTATGACAGCAAAAGTTCAAAATGACAAATTGAGATGAGTGATGCTCTTGCTACTTTGATTAGTCATTCCACACAACTAAGATTGACAACATGAATGCAGTCTTGTTGATAAGAACACTAGGAAGCGCATTTGAGAATGTTTATTTTGAAGTGCATTTTTTAATTGGTCTTTCATTTCCAAGACAGTCATGGGGTTTGATGTTTGCAGAAGGAAAGCTCTCTAGTGGAATGCCTTTAAAACGTCTACCTAAGTTTATTATCTATCAGTGAGATTGAGGAGAAGGTCCTAATATAACAGTAATTATTTTATTTTTATCAAGCTCTTACTGACCAGAATCAGTACAGTCACAAATGCAATAAAATTTTGTGTAAACACATTTCAGAAAATTTGTTTCACATAAAAGTGCATAATGTATCAGAATAAAACCAAGTATCTTCTCTTGCATCACCCCTTTTGGAGGATGAGAAGATGATAAAGGAAAGAAATGTCAGTGATAACAAAAGGTCCTCAAGGTAATCAGCCTTAAAGACATTTTTCACGTGGAACAAGCAGACCAACAGTGAGTCTTGTCTGTCTTGGGCATCTCTGCAAAGATATTGAGGCATCTGGAATTTTTCAAGTCTTAGATGGGCAGGAGTATGGCTGACAGAGGGCATGATACTTTATCATCCCAGTTCTCTAATTTATCATGCTTACCATCATCACATATGTGAAGTACAGATCTGATGAAAATAAGGGTTTCTAATTTAGTGCTCGTATTGCAAGATGACAAAAAGGTGAAAAGAAGCATAAAACATCCTTTTGCTTCCCTATGCCAGCTGCACATCACTTAGTACATGTTGTGACTCTCATGACCTCTGACAGTGGTCTTCAAAGTAGTACTGGAATAGAGGAAACTGTCTGCTGGCCTTGAGGATGTTGAATTTTTCCTGAAAAGAAGATAATGGTACTACTACCTCCACTACTGCTACTAAAACTAATAATGAACCATTTTTGTCCAAAACAAACAAACAAAAGTGATTTTAAATATCAAGATATGTACATATACACAATATGTATAGTATCAGAACTGATGTGTAGTTAATCTGAGTGAAAACTCATTTTCACAGGTGAGTACAAAGGAAGGTCTGAAACTGCCATGGAAACCCATGGGATATTTTAATTTAGGATTACTGTTAAGCTCTTTTAAAGTGGGTGTTCAACCTGGAGGAAAAAAGGATTATACAAACTGGTCACTGAATTTTATTGAATCTTAAAGAAACAATTTTGAACATTACAAGAGTCAGCACCTCACAAGATTTCAGGAAAAAAAGCTGCGTAGTCAAACAGTTTCTCACTTGTGTTTCATGTTGGCAATGCACAAGCAGCAATCTTGTCTCACATAAGTAGGTATTTGATGATTTGTTAGAGATAAACACAGTAAGATAAGCATTCATGCCAGCACTAGCTGCAGAGATGATCTGCTCAACAGATCAGTGTTCAGCCACCTGAATAGCTCAAGAGTTTGTGAAGAGATTGCACTTGAGCCTGGGGGAATGGCTATCCACCTGCATCGACATGCCTGGATGTGCTGATGTCTAAATCTGGTGCCCTGTGTGTGTGCACTGCACACTGAGCTCTGTAACAGGCCAACACCTAAAATCAGGCCAGGAGCCTCAAGGGTCTTGCTCTGCCCAAAGAGCAGGAGACAATGTTAAGATACAAAGTTTTAATGCCATTGATGACTGTAAGGTTTGGGCATCACCAGCATGGCTGATAGGGTATCCCAGTACAAGAGTGGTGGAGTCCTGGTCTACTAGAAAGGCAGGAATGAACCTTTGAAGATCCCATCGTTGCTGAGTGTGGGAGTGGTCGCATCTGGTAGGAATGTTGTAGCAGAGAGCACATCAGATGGAGCTCTCCGTCTTCTGTCCCAGACCTCATGCCCCACTGGTGGACATTATCATGCACTGCCTTTCTTTTGCGGTGTTCAGAAAGTAAAACCAACTATCCGTACCTCTGA